CACGTGAGGGGCAAATCGCAGTGGAACCCCAATTTTGTTCTCTCGCAGAATGCCAATTGGGAAACGCTGCCATAGAGCAAGGGTAATCCAGAATATGCATTAAGGAGACAGTCCTGTCAAAAACAATAATATTTAATAGCAAACCTGTAATTGTCATGGTGATAACATGTTCTATAATGTTAGCTTACTTTTGTTTGCCCATATCAGTGTTCCTGTACAGAGGTTTGGTGAGCACAAAAATTAAATAGTGAGGATAATTTATTATGTGAAACCTTCTGTATGAGTTTAGTTTAAACTGTTGGTCTCTGTATTATGGTGCAATTAACAAATGTTAAATTATATAAAAACACAAACGTCTATATTTGGCATAAATTGGTCCCTGCTGACTACAGCATGAAGTGTTGTATTAAAAGAATAATAGATTATCCCTGAGACGTTCAAAATAATTCTTGAATTATTTTTTCAAGACAAAATGTACTAAGATAACACACAGTTTGCATGTTAATCCTTTCCCTTGACTTCTGACTTTCACGGTCTCCCAGGAGATAAATGAAATGCTGTCACTTTGGATAGATTACCAGGCAACCAAAGTCAACGAGAAAAAGCTAAGGATTGAAGTTTGGTGTCTTAGGGGTCTGAACAGCATTTCCTAGGATTAAGCGAAAGCTTAAAATTTAATATTTCTTAAAACTTAGCTGTAGATTGAACAATATGTTAATGGCTGTTTTCTCTTTATGTATCTTTATTCCCACTGAGATTATACATAGAACCTACAACTAAATCCTTTGAGAAAATAATTGTAAGGGAAAAAAAAAGTTTTAATTCGCCAATCTTGTTTTAATGAAGAATAACATTAAGTTTCGATCACAATTAATTATTGTTAATCTTGGATTTGCACGTTTTCAGTGAGTTTTTATTTTTTTTATTTTGGACTGCATTGTAATGCAAAACAAACTACATTACAATAAATATATTTATTTTAGCTTTATTCTATGGCCTCCAAGAGTAACTTCTATCTCTCAAACCTTCCTCTTGCTCTCTCCTAAAGGGCCACTCTCCACTCTCACCTCCAGATCTGCTACTTTCCCACCATGTCTATTTGCTGTCGCTCTCAATACCCTTCATTTTGTGTTTTTATACCCCACCTCCTCTAGAGTGTAACGTTGTTTGAGCAAAGTCCTCAACTACCTATTGTTCCTGTTAAATTTTGTTCTTGTCTCATTTGGTAAATTCCCCTCTTATTGTAAAGCGCTGCGGAATAAGCTTGTGCTATGTAAATATCAATAATAATAATAATCTTTAATACAGCTTTACTCAGTTGATATAATAAATTTTCTAGTTATAAACCATTACTTTTCTTGAAAATTACATGAGCTCTCACTCCCCACCTGCACCCCGGAATCCTAAACGAATAACAGAAAATATGTGAATATTACTTGAAAAAATGAGGAATAGCTACAGCCAGGAAACTGTATTAACAGAATATGTGCATTATGTTAATGATCATATCATCTATATTCTGGTGGAATTTTGGTGAATCTTCAATACCCAAAATGGCAACAGATCCCATGCAAATTCCCATAAGCCTCATATTTGTTCAAGTGTATTTATTTTTACCTGGTCATGATCATTTATCAGAATCTGTATAAAATATTTCAACATGCGGGACTACTTAAACTATGTTAGGTTTAATACAACAATCCTAATATTTCTTTAAAGGCCATATGAATATTTTGATTAAAAAAAATACACTGGAAAATAAGTTGTAACTTACATTGGAGTTTATTACAATGCAAATAGCTTGTTGAGGGGAGCTGAAACTGAAAAATTGGGGCCAAAATAGGAAAACTGAAATGATTTTCCAACTGTGCATTTTTGCTCATAATTGTAAAATTCTGTAAATAACTGCAACTTAAGGATTAAACGCTTTAACTGTTCCTATCTGCAGAATATGACTCAACAATCAGTCCTGTAATTTTGACAATATAAAGTTTGACAATATCTGACAGTTTCTTATTTAAACGTGTATTTATTTTGTGTTTTAGACATTATTTAATACAAACATATCTGCATGAAGATCCAGTAGTGTATTCATTTTCTTGCATTATAGCCTCACCGAATTTAAAGTAAAATGCCTGCTTCATTTTAACTCATTTAATTATCTATAACCAATATCTTGTTCAAAAACATTAAAGGGATACTGTAGCCACCCAGATCACTTTCAGGGGTCTGGGTGCTGTGTCCCCTTTGCACTTAGTGCTGCAATGTATTGAATTGCAGCTCCAGGTTTGCCCTCAGTGGCTGTCTACTAGACAGCCACTAGAGGGCTTCCAGAATTGAAACTTTAGTCCATTATTTGATGCTGCATGAGGACCTCCCGTGTCAGATTTTTTCCCATAGGAAAGCATTGATGAATGCTTTTCTATGGAGAAATCCTAATGCGAGCACGGCCATTGCCACTAACGTCGGCGGGGGAGGAACAGGGCAGAGCCTGACTCAGCGCTGAGGGACATTGGCACTGGATTCAGGTAAGTGACTGAAGGGGTTTTAACTCCTTCAGCACAGAGGGACGCAGGGTGGGAGAGAGGTCGGGACCTTAGAAATCTATAGTGCCAGGAAAATGGCTTTGTATTGCTGGCACTATAGGATCCCTTTAAAGCCACTTTGGCTATAGTGCCAATTTACAGCTCAATACAACCTAGAAAAGTTTATGTTTACAGTTATGTGAAATGTAAATTACGTATCCAGTTAAACAGTTGTATGATGCAAGTCTACTGTAACATGAGTGATTGAACTATCTTTGCACATTTCCAATGGTGAAAGTGCAAACTGAAAGCAAAGTTTTTAGACCACATTCTCCCATTTGCGTTAACATCATACTGATATTTTAATTATTTTTTATGTTAATTTTTGTTTAGGATGGTGGTTTGATGCCTGTGGTCCTTCCAACTTGAATGGAATGTTCTATAACGCAGGACAGAATCATGGAAAACTGAATGGAATAAAGTGGCACTATTTTAAAGGTCCAAGTTACTCTTTACGCTCTACGACAATGTTGATTCGACCTGCCGATTTCTAATTGAAAAAAAAAAATATCAACCTGAGAAAACAATGCAATGGTTATTGTTTTTAGAACCTTAATTTCAAATTACAGAAGGAAGTGACTTCAAAGCAGCAGCAGGAGAAATTGACTTTCTGAGCAGCGACAAACGTTAAGCAAGAAAAATTAATGTACCACGCAAAATTCATGAATTTGCTTTATGACAATACAAACAAACATTTGATCTTTGATCCTTCCTCAAATCCAAGCACCTAGAAGTGTTTAGAATATTCTGGACTTTTTTAAATGTGGGAGTTTATCATTTTATCATACAAACTAAATGCATTTCTAGGGATAAACATCCCAAAGACACATTTTGAGTACAAAATGAATGGATAGAACGTTCAAGACTTATATTACGACACAGTTAATCAGTTTGGACAAAAATACACCATGCTCAAACTTTTCCAAGTACCCATATTGGACGATGCAGAAATAAAGCAAAGAATAATGTTTCTATGGACACAAGGATACCAAATTGTGGATACCTCAGTAGGTCTCAAAACACCACTGCCTCTTTTTAAAAAGACATTGTGGATATACATAAAATGTTTAAAAAATAATGTTAAAATGTGAATGTTTCATATAAAAGAAAAAAAATGCTCTGTGAGTTAAAGCATTTTGAAGTTCTGTACTGATTCTTCAGTTTCTGAATTTGAAAACACCTACAATATTTAATTCTAGTACTTAGTATCACACAATAAGAAAAAAACATATTTTTGTATGCTAAAGCATATGAACTTATAACATGTCTGTCTATATCAAGCTGTAGTGAACAATTGGAATGTCATTAGTTTCTCTGAACATATAATAATTATTACACAGCATACATCAAATGCGTTATAAAAGTACTTTGTGTGAAAAAATATTGCATTTCTCTACACATTAAATGGCAAAATGCATACGATGCACAATATATGTAGCTGTAAGTTATTTTTGTATAGTCATCCGTAAAATATAGCTGTGTTTCCATTTACGAGCCTTAGCGATATGTGTACAAAACGTTAATTTCACCTTTCATATATTTTATCATTTCTGTCTTATCATCAAGTGCTACATTTACAGTGATACAATGAGGAGATGAGTTTTTATGATATTATGCTTTCAAAATACACATGAATTGTACAATGCATTATTGCACATTCTTTTATTGGTGTTATTTGTCTGACACAATAAATTAATTTTTGTTATAAAGATGTTTTTCATCATGTAAATGAAAATCTATCTATATTCATCTATAGTCAGGCTTTCTTTGGCATATGGGGCAAATATTCGACCCAAAAATCCATGACGTGCCAAAGTTAGCAAAACAAAGTAGACAGCTTAGCTTCTCTGGACTACGGACTGTGAAATAAGGACTGCCAACATATTCACTCCCAATCTGTGGCCTATCCCTGAATTTTAAGCTTTGTTCAGATGGGATCTGGAAGATGAGAATCTGTTGCTGTTTGTTGTTGTATGACTCCACCTCCTTTATCACTTCTTACCGACATTATAACTATATTAGTCCCAATAAACTATACAGATGGATACATGCATAGTAGTGGAGGGGGAAAAAAAGAAAAACACAGTATTGTATTGTACATCTGATAACCTTACGAAGTAGTTTTGTGCATGGCAAAGAACACATGGTTTATTTGAAGAGAATAAAAACTTGTTTCGGGTGATTTGGGTTTCGTTCATATGGTATTTCGGTTGAATTTCATTACAGCAGTTGTTAAGAAAATAAATATTTGAATGAAACAAAATGTGTGAAAATTGGGCAAATATTATATATTATGTATATATTTAGCAGTACACTTATAGCCTAATGTTTGCACCATTTGATTCATTAAGTGAGAAGAAGTAACCAATATAGGGAAAAAAGGAACGAGCTGTAGCACATATATATTTATTGGACTTGTACAGAGCTAAAAAAAAATTAAAAAAATTTAAAAAAAAATGCAAATTAGTTATTCAGAGTTGGTGTAAGTGGCAGTTGCTACTAGCAGTAGGCATAGCGAATGGAATTTCAGACTTCAAATCAACCAAACCACTTTCCAAATGTGCTAATTGGTTGATTCGGTATTCAGGCATATTTCGGCTCGGAATTCGAACATTCGGCTGAACACCCTATCTACTGAAATTGTAGTTCAGACAAAAATTCATCTCCAGGTCCAATATTTATATTTTTATGAGTGCGAGGTGCTGCATTTTTTTACTGCTCCCTTTTTTTCCACTCTGTTAATCATTTCTCTGTGGAAAAAATGTACATTTAATGGCTGGTCCCCAAGTTAAATCAATTACCATCAATCATTCTTTTTTTGTGTGCCATGGTCAGAACTCTGAATCACTAGTCAAACAAGAAAAACAGTTCATCTACTGTCCATTTATTTGTTTCATGATTCATTCATATAGCGTTTCGGAGTTCGATTTTTTTTTTTTATCTAATGAATCACTGAATTCCTAAATTTCACACAAGTCACAATTCTTTTGAAACCAACGTCTACTAAGCAGAACCCTTTTTGCAAGATAGGAAGATGTGACTAATCTAACTATGACATTTTAATGGTGATACCAAAAGAACACTGTGTCACACCGAAATTGATATGGCATATGAACATAATAAATCTTGAAAACACTCCAGATTGTTCAAAGCTGGCCGAATGTTATACAACATTCGGCCAGCTTATATATAGTGTAATTCCGAAATATCTTAGATGATAGATATTGTCATTATTGCAGTAAAGCAATAAGAAGGAATGAGCCTCTTTAGGCTGAAACAAATAATTTCCTTTAACGTTCTGAACGTTCGGTCTACATTTCCTTTAACGTTCTGAACGTTCGGTCTACATTGCTATTTATATATAAACTGTTAAACACTGTTTTGATGTCATCACTTTAACATATATGTGTTATAGTTATAACATCTATCTTTATAAACATACCACTTGCCTGTAAAATATTTTTTTTAGAAATATCTTACTTTTCATTACAAGTGTATATTCATTATTTATGATAAATACACAGAGGTCATTTTATAGAGTTAAACTGGCATGTACGCTTTTATATTCATGGAAATACATCTGTTGACCTTAATTATATCGATAATTGCATTTTTATATTTTTTTTGTAATAATGTAAAGCAATATGTTACTTAATTAAGTGTTGTGTAGCTTTCCTACACCTGTGGGTACCTGGTTTTCCTCTGGTTTATGTGCTTTAAGTAATACATCCAGAGCCCATAAAATATCCACTAATGTAACTTTTGGGTTTCACGTTGTAATCTTAATGTCTTAATGTTGCTTTTAGATGTTTCTCATTTTCAGACAAATGTACTCATTGATCTTGGCTTTTTGAGAACATTTTTATTGTACAATTTTTCAGTCTTTTTGGCAAATGTCCAGGATGCTGTATAACTGTTTGAAGGTAATTTCCGTATTTCAATTTTAAAAACAGTCATTCGAGGATGCTCTTTCTCAGACATTATTATGTGCTTGTTATCATCCATCAAAATTCTTACCCATGAGCAGAAAAGGATAGAGTATGATAAAAGGGTGGCAGGAAATATGAGACATTGAAAATACACAAAATATTGCAAGGGTAAGTTGGGGTGAATGAAAGGATAGCACTGGAGGTAATACAGAGAAGGCTAACATGGTAAAATAAGGAAACCGAGAAACAATAGAGGAAGAGAATAGGGGCAATAAGGAGAAGAGAGAATCTGACTAAAGAGAAAACGAACAATAAGAAAAGAGAGACGAGCAATATGAAATTTATGCACATTTTTAGTTTTCTAGCATAGTGGCGATATGATTCACTTACAAAACTGATGTCATTCTTCTTATAACTGTAGAAATAAGCTGTGAGATACAAGTCTTCAACATTTTAAAGTGGTACTACGTCTAACTTCTAATTGTGATTCTCAATGAAAGTTTGAAAAATATGAATAATTTGTTGTTGTTATTATGCTGTTCATATACACATACAATCAAAATTATTTTATATGTCTAAGGGGAAAAAAAATCACAGATTATTTAAATGAGCACTACAAGCACTACAAGCACCATTCAAATTCTCTGTACCTGCAAAGAACCAGTGGATTTCCTCATTATAATACCTGCAGATGTTTGGGGGTGTCTTAGTGTGTTGTGCATTTGTCTGGTGTTGGTTAAAAACCTTGATGATGTCAAATTATGAAAGGACTGGCATCATAGCCCCCTATAACCACTATTATAAGCTGCAGTATGTATCATGCATGGATGGTGTGTCCCTTTAATAATGAGGAGTTGGGCTCGGTTTACTAATGAAAACAAAAACTTTTTTTGTACATAAGTGAAAATCAATGTAATGCAAATGAATGCCATATTGGCATAAAGCTAAACTATATATACCTAAAAGTATACTCCCACCCTTTACAATTTAAACTCATTTAAATTGTTATAGGAGTAGGAGTGTTAAGACATCATCTTATCATCAGGGTTTAAACCATTTTACAAGTCTAGCAGTAGTATCAGGCCCCAAAATTTCGGTTAATTGGTTGCAAAATGATTTAGCTAATGAAGATAAGTTAGCACCTGGACAAGCTTCCCCGCATAACAACTTAAAGGGACACTCCAGGTACCCAGACCACTTCTGCCCATTGGAGTGGTCTGGGTGCCAACTCCCACTACCCTTAACCCTGCAACTGTAATTATTGCAGTTTTTATCAACTGCAATAATTACCTTGCAGGGTTAACGCCACTTCCGGGATTATAGCACAGATTTTCTGTGCTATAGCATTGCTGGACGACCTCACGCTATGTGAGGATTTCCAGCGTCGCTAAAATCCCCATAGGAAAGCATTGAAAGCATTTTCAATGCTTTCCTATGGGGAGGTCTAATGCGCGTGCGCGGCATTTCTGCGCATGCGCATTAGGTCTCCCCCGCCGGCGGGCATGATCAGTCTCCCCGGCCGGCTGACGTGGTGATGGGGAGGAGCGTGGGCGGACCAAGAAGCAGCGCCGAGGGACATCGTCGCTGCCTCTGGTAAGTCACTGACGGGGTTTTGACCCCTTCAGCAACCGGGGATGGGAGGTGGGAGGAAGAGGGGACCTGCAGTGCCAGGAAAACAGATTGTTTTCCTGGCACTGGAGAGTCCCTTTAACCCCTTAAGGACACATGACATGTGTGACATGTCATGATTCCCTTTTATTCCAGAAGTTTGGTCCTTAAGGGGTAAAATGAGTTTGGTTTGCTATGGTGTGGGAGTGTTCCCTTAAATTTATAAAGAGCTCATTATTGGTTGTAAATATACATTTTTTTTTAAACAAAACATTAATTTTAACACCTTTAGAGAGTAGTGATGTCCCGAACGGTTCGCCACGGTTCGCCGCGGACTTATCATTGAGTAAACTTTGACCCTGTACCTCACAGTCAGCAGACACATTCCAGCCAATCAGCAGCAGACCCTCCCACCTCCTGGACAGCTCACTAAGAATGCAGCTTCACAATGGATGCTGTCCAGGAGGTGGGTGGGTCTGGGAGGGAGGGTCTGCTGCTGATTGGCTGGAATGTGTCTGCTGACTGTGAGGTACAGGGTCAAAGTTTACTCAATGATGAGTCCGTGGCGAACAGTTCGGGACATCACTATTAGAGAGTAACCTAAGCTTCATAACATTTTTAGCATAAGTGTTTTTGGTGTATAGATCATGCACCTGCAGTCTCACTGCTCAATTCTCTGCTAGTTAAGAATTAAATCCCATTTGTTTCTGGTTTTTAAGCTGTAGCCACATACCCCATGACGGTAACTCACAGCCTCCATGGAAAAATAATTTATTTAGATATTGCAGCACTGCGTGGTTCATTTAGAAGTTTTCATATCCTAAACTGTTAATAGAACTTTAATTACACATAGGAGACTGTTGCAGACTCAACCCGGCAATACACAAAGAGATACGACATTCTAAACTAAAAACATTGTGCTATAAAAGAAGCCTAAAAATTAGATTTCTCTTTAACCCCTTAAGGACACATGACATGTGTGTCATGTCATGATTCCTTTTTATTCCAGAAGTTTGATCCTTAAGGGGTCAAAGGAATTGGATAGACAATTAATATGATTTTCAGCCAGGGTGTGGCTAGGGCTGCTTAAACAAAGTGCTAAATGGCAGATAATTAAACAGTGAGGCTGTAGGGTCATAATATATACACAGAAATCACTTCATTAAGCTAAAGTTGTTCTGGTGCTTGGTGTGTCCATTTAAATTTCAATGTTAGCCATAATCAAAATCAATTTCTTCTTGTTTGTCATCCACACGTTTTCATTTCTGCTTTTGTTAAGGGAGTCTGACTTTCCACTTCAGAATAGGAGTCTTAAAAACATGTTATGGAATCATTGATCCATAAGTGATTAAAACAGTGCTTACAACAAATACACAAGGCTGGGTTCCTAGTAATAAAAACATACTGCAATACAGATTTAGATCATGTGACAATGTAAAAATGTATTTTCTGCATACAAACTTGGAACACTACAGATACTAATAACATTACAAATCCCACATAAATATAATTGTATGCAGAAAATCAATTTTTAAGTATAATGAATGATTATTCGTTTTGTATTTCTGGCAATACATCCTTAAATAAACAAGACTATAAGGATTTTAAAATCTATAATTATGAACTAACAAACTAATTATACACTAGTCTAAATGGCAATAATAATAATAATAATAGTCTGCAGAGTGACCATGACATGAAAAAAGTAATGTTTAGGCGCCAGTAAAAACATTTAATTCTTTTTTTTTTTAATTTCTGAGTTCCATTAAATTGGGTAATAAATTTAATATCAAGACCCCAGAATATAATTTAAAAAAGTAGTAGCAAAAGCGTATTGCAAAAGTAGCAATACTGCAGCCCAAATCTAACATTTAGTACACTAAAAGAGAGGATCATTGTATGCAATCATATGATGTAAGGTTAGAATATTACCGTGCTTTGTGATTGAAAAATAAGGCTATTGTACTTACACACTTAAATTACCCAAAATTCCATTATCTCATAAAAGACTATTTAGACACACCGTGCCTCTGAATAGAATGTACCCCGGAAGCATGTACAATATTTATGTTTGCTACTTCAGTAATCCTATTTGTTGAGTTAAAAATGTTTGCATATTAAATCGACCATTTTGTCCCTCCATGATAATGTGTTCAGTTGAGTTCTAAGTCTAATCGTTGTCTATTGTCATCGTCTACTATGAATGTTTCCTGTGTTAAAGTGCGTGTCTTGAACCTTGATACAATAATGCTATAATGGAAAATCAAAGGTATAATATTTGTTTGGCATTTCCTTGTCATGGTCTATATATGAGGACATGGTTTGCAATTCTTTGTAATAAAGTCTTTAAAAATATGTTTGAGCCATTGTTTTTGTAATCTTTGTACATCCATGGTGTATGTCAGAGCAGTATGTTGACAGTAGTGAATCCTGCATTGGAGCAGTACAAGGGTTGTGAAATTAAACCAAATCTCAATATTTCTCAAAACAAAATACTTTTGAGAGTTACAATAACATACAATTCTACCTTATTTTATCTGTAAAAATAAACTGTTTTACATCTCTCAAGAGCAAGCTAAGACACATTTTCTTTTACAACAAAGCCAAAATAAATGTCGTATTTTTAAGGTATAGCATTAACATTCTTATTTTCAAAATAGAACTGCTAATCTGTTTCAAATTTATACGGTTTACTATTAAAATCAGGGACATCAAACATCAACAAGATTCAATCATTTGTGTTTTTTGCTTGTTATTAGAGGGGCTGCAGTTCTCTATAAATAAAGAAAATGCACTAATTTCCCACAATTATACACCATTATACATTATTTCATCATATGAGGGACAGTTTGACAGTATATTGTTACATTCTTTGTCAGATCCAACTGGGTTTCTTTACCTTGCCCTCGTCCGTTTTGTATGGGATAAATAAAAGCATTGTCAAAGTGCCCACAACTTCCTGGTCTACAAATAAATAAAAAGAACCAATCATATTGCTCAGACCACTTCAACACAGTATGTCCGGTCCCCTGACTGCTACTTAATATGGGTCTGACAAAATGTGTCCTGGCACAAAGTGTCAATTTATCAGGAACTTCGGCTACCACAGTGCTACATTCCCGAAGTTTAGAAACAATATAATTTAATTTTTTTGACGCAAATGCTGATTCTGTAGATACTTTACATATATAGCTGTTTTGTGTGTTTGGGGCAAATGGTAGGATTATAAAGGGTAAACATTGGTATGGCAACCTTGTAAAAAACATTTTTAAAAATCTGGATACATTTGTCATTTGATTCAGTTTAACAACCATCTAAACAAGAACTAAACAAGAAGAAAATTGCACACTGTTTCATAATAATAGGTCGTTTGCATTATAACCATTTTAGTGCCAGCAAATATCACATTAGAAGAAACTAGTTACAAACGAACCAGCAAATACCAATTAGAATAGTACACGGCAACCAAGAGCTCACATTGCACTGGGTGAATAAGAAAACTGTTTTGAAGATTGTGCTTTCACAACTGATTATTGATGTTGGTCCCTGACCCAGAACTTCAGCAAAGCCTCATGAGACTGAAGAACAGGCAACAACAACATCATTTTCACTGTTGCGGAACATGCAAATGTTTGCACACATTACTGAAGCAAAAGTTCAATAACGGGAATTACTAGCTATTCTAGAAAATTATTCATGGTTCACCGGATCTCGAAAGAAAGGAAGCAGAGCTCTACTGAACTGAAAAGCCAAATGTTTGCTTCCACAGTCCGATAAAAGAACGTATCACACTTTTCTTGAGAATAATAGGCATTTTTCCACTCAAAATACATTTATATACATTAAAAGAGTTTTTTTTTATGCCTAAGATAGATGAGGAAAACATACATATAGTTTACATTGGCAATTTTTTGTTCCGTGCTGAGAACGATAAAAAAAAAAGAAAGAAAACAAAACGTTTAAAAGGGTCTGTTTGTTAAACAACGAGTTACAAAGAGTTGACAACTGTGAAAATGTACTAAAAAATAAATAAAAATTGCGATATAGTTCACAGTGTGCATTACTTTCAGCTGTTGCTCAGTGAGCCTACAACATTGTTATCTATTGTATGGTAGCAAATTATAAAGTGACAACAGAATAATGTCAAATTTGGTTTGACAAGGCTAAACAAGCATGACAAAAATAAGCCTGGCTCAAATTTCTTCTACAATCTAGAATTGTTCTGGTTTGACATGCAAACTGTTCTTTGTTCCAGATTCAATAATTTAATTAGGTGCTTTTTTGTGTGTGTGAGATTTTAACACTTCTAGACTTTATAATAAAACAGATTGTAATGTTGCCTGTTTAAATACATCGTCATGATTGTTGGTCCAGCAAAATGATATGTTATTGAATTAAAAGTAATGAAAGAAAACAGAAAACTGATTTTTATCTCTTTAGTAATGCTGAACAGACTACTCACAGCTGTGGGTTAGGATATCTTATATTTATGGTTTGGCTTTTTCTTTTTTGCTCAATTATAAATCAAACATATTTTTCTCATTATTTTAAATTTATTGTCTTATTGATTGCTAGCTTCATGGCATTTAAAAAGAATCAGTTCTACTATGGGAAGCAAATTAAAAGAAAATGTTTTGATGATTGTATATAAAAAAGAAAAAAAACCTGTATTTTATTTTAAAAGCACTTTACATCCCATATTTATAAGGTATATTTAATCATCCAGAATGTAACGGAGCTTCCTGTACCCCGGTAGGGTACCTCTGCCGACGGATGCTCCTAGTACTCACCGAGGAACCAACGCTGGATCTACGACAAGGCTCCAGGTTCCAGTGGGTGAACCCTTCTTCCTCCAGAGAGTCAAGCTGTAATAGCTCTTATAAGAGCTATGAGAATCCAAGGAAATATAATGATTATAGCAATCCCTTGCAATCCCTTGATATAGTAGTTCCCTACAATAAGAGACAGAACTCAGTATTGAGGGTGAAGTAGATCTGACGTTTAATGGAGGCACACTTTTATGCAGGTTTCCCAACAAGGTGGACCTTGTTGGGCACAGGGACACAAAGGGAATAAACAAATAAGAACCGTAATTAACTGTATGACACTCCCATAACACATTTACAATCCCTCCCCTGTGCCTGTGATATAATTAAGGTAGCTAGTGCATTAATTTAATTATCCCCAGGCAGAAAAAGCACACATTTATAAAAACTCCTATAAGTACCCCAAAACATAACATAATCACATCCCCTGATAGCCCTGATCTGAGTGAACAACATATCCAAAAATCACCCAGATCAGAGCAGGGGGTTCAGGAAATTCCTGGAAGTCTCTTTTGACCGACCGCACGCATGGTTTCATACCCAAAACAGAGAATTAGGCCTATTTAAAACAGTCAAAGTACCATTCGAATCACCGAACGGAATGGTGAATGGCCATAGTTAATGTGTGTCCCTTGTTTATGGGCTTCGACTCACCGAACACCGTTCGACTCCTGTTTGAATAGTCGAAGTTCTTTCAAAGGTATCTGTTCAGCGGTGTTCGTGCAGTCACATGTCTGATTCGAGTTCCATGAACTCAGCGACAAAACACAGCTGAACACATTTGACTAAATAAGATGGCCACCGCCACGTGTTCGACTACGAATGATGGCCACTTCGACTACTTTGACACTTTGACTTCGACCACTTTGAAAGTTCCAAGAAACATTGTGCCAAGTCCCAATAGGCACAAATAGTGTCTCTCAGCCAGTATAAATAACAGGGGACATAGTCACAGGGTAGGAGGCTGGCAACCAGGCCTCTCCAAAAACATTACTACATTTAACATGTCAATGTTGAAATCTTGTTTTACTCATGTATTTATTGAGGGTCAAATATTCTAGAGCAGTGGTTCCAAAACCAGTCCTGATGGCCCACCAACAATCAAGGATTTATGAATTTCCCTTTTTTATTTTAATGGAGATACTGACAAAACCTGGACTGTTGGCGAGTCATGATGGTTGGTTTAGGACACACTGTTCTAGAGAAACATAAGGAGTAATAACTCCATGTCCATACGCGTTTACATGCACAAGTTAATTTGGACTCCTTAATAGTATAAACAGTGAAATTGGATATTTACCTTTATGGGAATTATAGTTAAACCATGATGCTGGATTTGTTAATTTATAATTGACTTAATTCTGATTTAATATTGTTAATAACCGTCATTCTAGATTTACAGTCCTCCCACAGGACCTTGAAAAGAGAGAGGATCTGTCCCCAGTTTGTTGCCTCGAGTCCCAATTTTGGGGAACTAGGGAATTGGTTCCAGAAATTATAGCACAAGACACCATAAAACCTGTACATGGGGTGTACTCAGGGCCGGCCTTAGGGGTGTGCGAGCTGTGCGACCGCACAGGGCGCCATGGAACAGGGGGCGCCCTGTGGCCGACACAGCTCACTCATGGCCGGAGTGCAGGGGAGCTAAAAGAGGTACCTGGCTGGAGGATTAATTATTCTCCACCCGGGTCTATTAAAAAAAAATTAAAAAAAAATCGCGGCAGAGGGGGCGGGGTTTACCGAGCGGCGGAGGCGGGGCTTATCGAGAGGCGGAGACGGGGCTAATACCTCCCGAAGCCCCTGCTGTACAGGAAGAGGGAAAGATGCTTCCCCATCAGCCAGCTGCATCCACTGGAAAGAGGTAAGTGTGTGTGTGTTTGACTGTTTGCCTGTTTGTGTGACTGTCTGTCTGTGTGTGTGTGTGTGTGACTGTCTGTCTGTGTGACTGCCTGCCTGTGTGCGTGTGACTGTCTGTGTGTGTGTGTGTGTGACTGTCTGTGTGACTGCCTGTCCTTGTGTGTGTGTGTGTGTGTGTGTGACTGTCTCTCTGTGTGTGTGTGTGTGACTGTCTCTGTGTGTGACTGCCTGCCTGTGTGTGACTGTCTGTGTGTGTGACTGTCTGTCTGTGTGACTGCCCATGTATGTGACTGCCTGTGTGTGTGACTGTCTGTCTGTGTGACTGTCTGTCTGTGTGACTGCCCGTGTGTGTGACTGCCCGTGTGTGTGACTGCCTGTGTGTGTGAGACTGTCTGTCTGTGTGACTGTCTGTGTGTGTGACTGTCTGTATGTGACTGCCTGCCTGCCTGTGTGTGTCTGTCTGTAACTATCTGTCTGTGTGTGACTGCCTGCCTGTGTGTGTGACTTTCTATCTGTGTGACTGCCTGCATGTGTGTGTATAACTGTCTATGTGTGTGTTACTGTGTGTCTGTCTGTGTGTGTGACTGCCTATGTGACTGTCTGTCTGTGTGTGTCGCTGTAGCTGTGCCATTGTTTGTG